AGTTTAGTTTAGTTTAGTTTCCTTTGGCTTAGGGGCAATCAAGGTCATCACAGAGGAATGAACCACCAACTATTCCAGCATTTGTTTTATGCAGCAAATCCATTTTATTTTTAGATCATAACATGTTTTTCTTTTTTTTCTTTCTTTCTTTCTTTCTTTCTTTCTTTCTTTCTTTCTTTCTTTCTTTCTTTCTTTCTTTCTTTCTTTCTTTCTTTCTTTTTTTTTCATCTGCTGTCTTTTAAAATGTCTCCTTTTACTGTGCCATGATTAAAACAAATTCAAAAAGTCAAGTTCTGGAATGAGATCAAAGTGAATAGGCTAAAACAGATTTTCTTTTCACTGTGAACTAATTCTTTAACTTCAGAATGTGTAGTCCCTGTTGTAGTGCATAGTGGAGACACTGTTCTGGCACAGCTGCTGCTTCCCGTGATTTATTTTGTGGTCCATCCCACCCCATAAATGATACATTTATTCCTGTTATCTCTGCTGCGGGATCCATTGGTTCCATAAATTATAAAGTGTGCATCCTTGTCGTTGCTCTCCTTTTAATTACAGCTCATGCAACAGCTGTGGGGTGTTGCATTAAAACAAAGGAGGCAACGTTTGAGAGCATTCTTGTTTTCCTTGGAATCAAAACATAAAACAAACCTGAGTAAGACCATTAAACATTTCATAAACAATTTCCATATAAATACTCACAGGGGAGCTGCTGTGTTCTTTGTTTCTTTGTATAGCTTGCCTTAATTTATAGGCAGAGGCTTACGTAGTCAGTTTTTGAGCAGGATTTGGGGCTTGTGATGTTACTTTGATAAACTTGGGCTTGTTTTGTGAAGTACTCGCAAAGCAAAAAGCATAGATGGCTGTGGAAGCATGCGGTTAAGTGTTTGGAGAGGTTTGATGCGTTTGGAGGAGCTGGCCGTGGTGCTGGAGTACTGAGAACACAAGAAGCATAAGCTGCTCTCAGCCGCAGCATAATAAGAGCAATCATGTGCGCTTGTGCTTTCAGCTGTCATCAAGTCATGCGATCAGATGACCCTTCACAACGGTTCCGTTCTTATGGGAGAGATGAAGCTACTGCTATTGGCACTATGTTATAAGACCAAGGTGGGACTTATGAAGGCAGATCTAATAAGTTGGTAGCAGTGTTTTCTTTTCTTTTTTACAGTAACTAAATATTTGTTCTCATCCAGTATAAAAGATTTTAGCAGGTTTTTATACTGTTTTTTTTTAAACCAAGACTCATCAAGGTTGAATTTATTCTAAAATAAACAAACAAACACACACACACACACACACACACACACACACACACACACACACACACACACACACACACACACACACACATATACTCTGAACACACAAAACCTCCAACCTTGAGGTAAATGGGCTACAGCAGCAGAAGACCACATCTGATGCCACTCCTGTCAGTTAAGAACAGGAAACTGAGGCAACAATTCACACAAGCTTACCAAAATTGCACAATGGAAGATTGGAAAAGTGTTGCCTGGTCTGATAAATCTTGATTTCTGCTGTGACATTTGAATGGTTGGGTCAAAATTTGGCATCAACAACCGGAAAGCATGGATGCATTCTCTTTGGTTTTAACGGTTCAGGCTGGTGGGGGTGGTGTAATGGTGTGGGGGATATTTTTTTGGCACACTTTGGGCCCATTAGTACCCACTGAGCATTGTGTCAACGCCACAGCCTAACTAAGATTTAATGCTGACCATGTCCATCACTTTATAACCACAGTGTACCCATCTTCTGATGGCTACTTCCAGCAGGATAACATGCTGTGTCATAAAGCAAATCATCTTCTTGAACAATGAGTTCTCTTTACTCAAACGGCCTCCACAGTCACCAGATAGAGCACCATTGAGATGTAGTAGAATGGGAGATTTGCATCATGAATGTGCAGTCGATAAATCTGCAGCAACTGTGTGATGCTATCATGTCAATATGGAGCAAAATCTCTGAGGAATATTTCCAGCACCATGTAAAATCTACAGTATGCCACAAAGGATTAAGGCAGTTCTGAAGGCAAAAGGGGGGTCCAACACGGTACTTTTTTTTTTTTTGCACGTTCAAACTACTTATTTGAATTGAGCTGAAACAACACAATTGTTGAGATTGCATTGTTCAATCCAAAAATGCAGGGTTCCAGACAATTCATTCAAGTTGTCCCAACACAAGTCGATTAAGTTAACTTAACACTTTTAAAAAATTATGTGGATTGAACATAAAAACATAAGTTGTCCCAATGAAAATCTCAATAATTGTGTTGATTCAGCTTATTTAATAAGTATTTTAAACAAGCAAAAACATTTTTTTTGGAGTGTAAGATGTACCTAATGAAGTGGCCAGTTAGTGTGCATACACACACATACACACTCTCACTCTCTCTCTCTCACTTTCTCACACACAAGAAAACTGGAAGTTTGAATGCCAGAGATTAATTTGATAAACAACTGTGACGATATTTATGGTGTCACGGGTTGCCAGTATATTTATTTTGCTGTATAAAATATGTATTATCAATTTGAACATACTTTACAAAAATCTACTTAAATTATATGGTAATGCTAAAACTTTAAATGTCAGTTGACTGTAAATGTAAAATATTTTTACTTCTATGACTTTATTTCATCTGTAATATTATTATTAAAATTGTTACAAAATGATTAACCCTAAGTTGGGCAAAAAAAAAAAAATGGGGCTGCACTGTGGCACAGTGGTTAGCACCATCGCCTCACAGCAAGAAAGTCACTGGTTCAAGTCCTGGCTAAGCCATTTCTGTGTGGAGTTTGCATGTAATTCCTGTGTTGGCGTTTGTCTCTTCCAGGTGCTGCAGTTTCCCCTCACAGTCCAAAGATATACACTATGGGTGAATTGAGTAATTTGCCAGTACTGGGTTGCAGCTACAGTACTGTGGTCTCAAATCAACCAAACTGTAGATACTGTAGTAAAGAGTGAGACATGTACAGTAGATTCTTATACTTAATGCTATATTGAGCTAACATTTCATTCATTCATTTTTTTTTCAGTTTAGTCCCTATTAATAGCTACAAATCACATTGTTTCTAATTTAGAGATTTTAGTTCGGGTTTTTAAAGAATGTTGATTGCTCCTTTGAGGTTGCACACATGCATCTCTGAGTCCACTGCCAAGATCAATGTCTTCACTAATCGAAGCCCATTTCCTGTCTGTGAACAGCGTGGCTCTCATTCTCCACTTTTCTGGATCTTCCTGGCAGCTTTTTCTGCATTTGCAGCCAATAAAGTGGCATTTAGATGCTCAGAGGTGGCTGGAGATAACAGAGTGTCAATACTAGAGTCCCACAAAGCTCCCAAGTTGCTTCCGAATGACTTCTTAATGAATTGGCTCAGGCATTGCATCACGTTGTTATTTACACATTACGTTTTATGTGATGTTTCACATTAACCAGTCGTCTTTCTAATGTAGAATAGAATAGAACAGAACATACTAGAACAGATTAGAAGAGAATACAATAGAACAGAATAGAACAGAACAGAAAAGAACAGAATAGAATAGATTGGAATAGAATAGAATAGAATAGAATAGAATAGAATAGAATAGAATAGAATAGAATAGAATAGAATAGAATAGAATAGAATAGAAAAAATCGAACAGAGCAGAAATAGAACAGAATAGAATAGAATAGAATAGAATAGAATAGAATAGAATAGAATAGAATAGAACAGAATACAATAGAATACAATTGAACAAAACAGATGAGGAATAGAATAGAATAGAATCGTTCTTGTCATTGTACAGTTACAATGTAACAATGCAAACCCTAGGTAAACAAATATATGTTAACATTACAAAATTTGCAAAGTAGTAAAGACAAGACAAAACATAGCATAGTTAATATTACTGAAAAAAGACGCAAAGGGCCTAGACATCATCTGCATTGTTTGAATAACACATTATAAATTATTTGAGGTAACAATTGAGTTCAAGGAAAGAATATTGCATAAATGGATTGTTTAGACCAGTATTGCACATTGGATTGTTAATTAATTTGTGTCGCCCATTTCATAAATTGGTTATTACTGTAATGCACATTCATTGTTAGGTAAAAGAATTTTATTCCAGTGTTTATGTTTAAGTTACATTGCTACTAATTCTCATTTCAAGAGTTCCCACTTAGATATGCTTGGCATTTATAGCAGGTTTGGCTTGCTGTCCCGGGAGAGAACCCTGAGCTCGGAGATATTTGAGCCCAGGGCTCCCACCCGGTCTAGAAGCATATCAGGGGATCCGAGATCAGGTAGGTCTCGATCGCTCCCCCTTTAGAAGGGGAGAAAAAGGAGGAGATGGGGTGGAAGAGGGGATTCTTCCAAAAAGAAGATAAATAAGGAGCAATAAGGAGAAAGTGATCCATTTATATTAAGCTAGGATCATTCTGATTGGATTATTATTGATTACGGATGAGTGGCCGGCAGTGCACAATTATATCACATGCTCCTCTCGAAATTAGTTTGTGAAACTTCACTAGATTGTAAGTAGACTGTTAGGTTAGGGTTAATGTCAGGGTAAGTGTAAGTTGACATGTACTTGCAAAGTTTCTTATGGTCGGTTAAATGTCTGTTATTAAGCAAACTGTCTACTAATACTCAAATGTATCATCAAAATAAAGTTTTACCAAAACAACAAACAAAAAACTAAAACTAATACTGAAACTAATAAAAACTAAAACTAAACTATTTCAAACTTTTGAAACTAACAAAAACTAGTACATCTACCTCTAAAAACTGAATTTGAAAGCAAAAAGTCAGAAAATAAAATAAAAACTAAAACTAATGAAAAATCAAAAACTAGTATAGCCTCATTGCAGAAAAGCTTTGTCCACCTGCTTCTTAATGCTGTATAAAATAAATAACAAAAATGACCTTTATACCTAAAACGTTTAATGCAATTGATTACCTCAAATTCTGGCAAAACTAATTTTTTCCTCTTTGTTTGTATTTCAGGACTGTCTGTTCTGCAGAAGGTTCTGGACACAGCAGCAGAGCATAACTGGCTGGTGACCTCTGTGAACGTGGAGACAATGACAGAGGCGTCCTTTCTCAAAGTGTTCCAGGATCTGGACAAAAAGAAGGAGGGCCAGATAATCATCGACTGTGAGCTGGAGAGACTCACCTCCATTCTGAAGAAGGTAATTGGCTTCCAGTATATTCTCTCGAGTGCTTGGGATTCAAATTCTGGATCAAAAATGAGAATTTTTTTTCTTAAACTGGGAAACCAGTCTTATTTTGGCAAAGGGTATTGGTCTTTTTTTAAATTTGTATTAATGAAAGGGGCCTTATTGTCCTTTGTTGTATTTCCTTTAGTACACATATTTGAGCACAAAAAGGTCCAAGATGTAAAGCCGTCATTATCTTGGAAAGGGGGCGGGGATCAGCAGCTTATTTGCATTTAAAGAGATGTAAATATCAGTTTTCACTTTAACCATGAAGACATAGCATAAATAATAAGAAGGAATTCTGTGATAAATTATGAAGTACACTGTTAAAAATGATATGAACAATTAGTCATGATAGCATATATTTTAGTTTGTTGTAACTTATTAAACTAAGCTCGTCATGTTCTAACTTAATTTTATAAGTTACACAAGCTGTTTTAAGTCAGTTTAACACAATATAAACTAAATGAACCCACAACTTTAATTTGATTCAGCTTAAAAATGTAAGACAACCAGGAATTTTTACAGTGTAGACACACATCTGAAGCTTTGTCCACAAACATGGGTATTTTCGAAACCGCAGCTTTTTCTTCATCCTGCTTTTCTTCATCATTAGTTTACATTGAAATGATGTATCGAGTCACTGAAAGCAAAACGTAGTAAAAAAAACTCTTATCAGGGTGGAGACTGTTTTGAAACATTGGGGTCTGTGTAGTCCTGTAGTGAGTTTTTGGCTTGTCTGTGTCATTATTTTCTTTGTATTGTGTCTGATGTGGTCGACGTAATCAAAATACTTATTACAAAGTACTTATTACAGCTAAAAACTGTAATAACGGTACTTGTTGACAGCCAACTGGAATCAGTAGTAATAATTGAGAATTGTAATAATCAATAATAAAATTGAGGCTTCTGATTAGCCAGCATGTCTTCATTGTTGGCATAATATGTTTAAAACTGTAAAATGGTCAAATATTGTCGCAAAATGGAATAGTTGTGAATTGCAAAAATCTGATAAATTACTGTAATTAGACAAGCAGCAAATTTTGACAAAAAATGCTATTGATTCTTTTACATTGCCATCATAAATTTTACTTTTCAAATAAAATAAAGGCAAATATTTCCACTTTGACCATTAAAAATGAGAGAATCAAGTTGGAATATATGTTTGTTGTTTGTAAACAGCCCCTTTTTCAATGATTTGATTGGCCTGTAGCCAAAAATGAGGGCTGATATTATTATTTTTTCATCTTAAAAATGAGGGCTGATAAAACACAGAACATCATCAATATCAAACACTGGGGTTCAGTTCAGCCACTTCTAGTTGTTATTGTTTCTGATTATGCCTGTTATCCCTAATTACCACAGTTGTAAACCACCTAAACCTGTCTTTCAATTAGGACAGCTAGTTAGTCACCATTTAGGCTGCTAATATCCATGCCATTATGAATATGCATAAGAAAGCATCTGCAGGCTCAGATGACTCAACTTAAAGTGCAGTTCAGCGCTGGAGTACTGAAGACTGTGACTGCTCTTATCAGATGGGGTGACAAATGCAACAGGCACAGGGGTGCGCACTCTCTCTCTCTCTCGCTCTCTCTCTCTCTCTCTCTCTCTGTCTCATAGAGCGCCAAGGACAGAGCAGATAAATAACACTGAGCTGACATTTGGGGTTGGCAGTGGAGCCATAGTGACGCGTCACTTTCTCTGTCACCTTTCTCCGCTGCCTAGAGGAGGAGGAAGCGTCCTGTTACTGTAATTAATGAGAGCGTGCCTTTTCTTCTCTTTCTTTCCTTCCCTCTATTTCATGACTCAAACCGAAGACCCTCGACAGACCATGTTGTGTTATTGATAGCACATTCCCCGCAGTTAAGGCCGTTGCATCATTTGGTAGCAATTTGCACAGCACGTCTAGACAAAAAAATTTCCAATTTGAAAGCTATCATCCATCATCACGCGTCCACAAATCACACCGTAAAACAACATTGGTGTAATTTTCCCCATACTTTGATTCACATTCATACACTTACACCAGAGACCAAGCAGTTTAATTGAGGAAAAACTGCTCTCTTAGCATGCAAGGTTTAGTTTAGAAATATTTTCCCCTGTTTTTAATTATCCCAGTAGTCTGACAAAGAAATTTGATTCTATTTGAAATTGAAGGCTGCAGCTTTATATATCACATCATTATTTCTTCTAGCTTTTTCAAAATCAGTGGCAAGCAGTATCCCCAAAAAAGAGGACAGTTTTATTTCTAGATTGCTTTTTAATGTCAAACATGAGCGTACAGCATTAACAAGAGATGATGTCATCTTTTTTGGTCCATTTTGCAAGATGTGCTTCTGCTGCAGATTTTATGTCATTGTAGTATTACTATCAGATACATTGTCTTAAAACTCAAAGGGATGAGCTTTAAAATGTGTTCATTTACTTACCGATAAGTCATTGAAAAGTGACTGTTTCTTCAGCAGAACATTAAAGAAGATTATTAGCTTGAATGTTGAACCATATATAACAACTTGTAAGCGAACAGCATCTTCCCATAGTGTGAATGAACAGTTTTACATTTTGGGGTGAACTGTCTCTTCAAGATGTGGTCATATTTACCCACAAACAAAATCCAGTCATTTTAAGAGGAATTCAAGAGTTTACGCTCAGATATTGCTTGATACTAATGGCAGGTTTGGCATGCTGTCGCAGAAGAGGACCCTGAACTCGTAGATAATTGAGTCCAGGGCTCCCGCCTGGTCAATTAGTAAGTAAAGGGATCCAAGATCAGGTAGTTCTTGAGAGCTTCCCCTGGAAAAGGAGGAGGAAAAAGAAGGGGGAGATTGGGTGGATGGGGGATTTTTACAAAAATGAAGTTAAGGAAAGTAACAAGAGGTGGATTATTTATTGTAGGTCTGGATTAATCTGATTGGTTTGCCAATGATTGTGGATAAGAGATCAGCCAGGATCAATCCTTTCATATGCTCCTCTCGAAATTAGTTTATCAAACTTAACTTAGGAAACCGAAATGCAAATTCTGTGCTGAAACTAAAGATTATTGATTCTTTGTAATAATGTTTTATTTAATAATATACTTTTGTAAGGATTTATTTACTTAAATTATTTCAATTTCAATTAATTCAATTACTAAATTAATCAATTTAAAAAATAAATTTCACAGACAGTAAACGAGTCACGAGGATTTTATGATTTGCTTTGTTTGAAAGTACAGTAGTACTATTGCAAGCATCAGAAACAACTATAGAACCTATAGAACCATATGCCCTGTCTGCATGTTATTTTAGCAGCCTTTGCGTTTCTGGTAAGCATGTGTGGTTCATGCTTGGATAATTATATGTGAAGAATATCCACTGAGCAGAACATTTGAGCAACTTTGAACAATCTAATCAATGTTGCACTTCTGTGCTCTTGTACTTTGGTCCATGCATCATCAAACAGCCATTGTAGTACCCCAAGCCATTGAAATGAATGGATTTCATAGCGCAGTGCTGTTTGCATCCAGTGTAAGTGCTGCTTCACACTGTGCAGTGACTATAACTAAAGAAATAGTGAAATCAGAGAGCTTCAGTGGAATGTGGCACAGCATAGCCCCTTAATGTTTACTTATAATTTTATTGTTTTCAGCCAAATTCCTAAATGTATTGCATCCCTAAAATAATCTAATATAATGGGAATCTGCAAAAGGCTTTTTTTTAATTTTGCTGTTTTTAATTTTGGATTAAACTTGTGAGGAGCACAAAAGGCTTTTTTCTGAAAATCAATTCCAGTTCTGAAAGTCATTTCCTTCATTTTATCAATAAACATTTGATGTGGAAATATTTACTATGAAAGTACAAGGAAGATCCTCCACTAGACTATTCGAAGTTTTACAAAAGAACGCCTTTGGAATTTCAGCACTGAATAACAAAAAAAAGCTGTGTCCTTGTCAGCATTGTTCTATGCCCTGGGCTGGCCTGCTGGTTGAAAACTTACTGGGTTCACCATAAATAACTAATGCTACTGTCTGTCATGGCCACAAGCTACAGTAATGTCATCTTTTACAGCTTCAGCGAATAACTACCTACATGCCGTTTGCTCACAAAATCATTTTCATGCGTGCTTGTTGCCATTTCAGAATTTCTCCTGCCTCATTCTTTAATTGACTTTAATTGTAGCAGAACTATAAACCAGTTTAATGGTGTCAATTGTGTCATGGATGGGCATCGACTTTGCGCTCTACGCACTGACGTCCATTCACACAGGTTAAAACTGTGGCCCTCGGCCAGTGTAGTGTAGCCAACACAACTGCTAATGTGTTCCTCCTCCGTCAGCGCATGACTCATTGTTTTTCTTCACTGTTGTGCTCTTCATGCCTGCAGAGGCTTTGTTATCTCTATAGCCACATAAAAGAAAACCTACATCACAATTCTTCATTCCTTTCTTCTTTGTTGCTCTGAAAACATAGCCGTCTTCATTCTGAAATACCCTGAAGTCAATATAAAGATGAAAGCCCGCGATTGTTGTCAATTTGTGGCGATTCCGTGGGTGTGCGCAATTGAAAATGCCATTGTTGTTGTTATTATTTAAATGTTACATGTTTCGTGCATTTGGCAGATGCTTTTATCCAAACTGATTTGCGCTGCATTGATGGCATAACTTGTGTCCGTTTATGCATTTTTAAGGAAATAAAACCTTAAGTTTGGTTTGTACAGATTAAGGTAAAAATCTAAAAAAAATTAATTAATTAATAGACAATAAAAATAAATTAAGTTAAAAGAAAATAAAACTTTTATTACTATTATAAAATGATTATTGTTATTGTTGTTGTTGTTTTTAACAACTATAGCCTTTGATTAAAATAAATTTTGAAAGTGTTGTTTTATTTATTTAATTTTTGCATATAATATTTGTCAGGTTCTGTGTTGTTTTGTACCATATGCTTATGTTTTGGTCATGTGATTCCCTTGTTCAGTTTTCCTGCCTGTCGTTTGTTTCATGAGTTCACCTGTGTGTCTCTCCCCTTTATGTAATCAGTTTAATCATGTCCCTAATATTTATACCCCTTAAGTTAGTTTAGTTTCTTGTCTGGTATTGAATTGTCTTCCTCTGTGTTCCCACGTGTGATTCCACTGTTTCTGGAAGTGACATTGGTAATAAATATTTGTGTTTTGATAACTTCTGCAATCCTGTGCCTTTATATGAGAGTAAGTCATGACAATATTAATGTTATTATAATTATTCTTATATTTTTTATTATTTTTTACTTTTTTATTGTTGTTACTGTTGCCATTGAATAAATTAATGTTGAAAGTAGTTATTATTATTATTATTATTATTATTATTATTATTATTATTATTATCTTTGTATTATTTATTTTTTAGGTATTTATTTGAGTTATTATTATTATTATTATTTTTATTATTATATTCATTATTTATGTATTATTATGTTTTTCATTCAGTAAAAATAGTTTTGAAAGTGTTATTTTTATTTGTGTATTTAATTATTATTATTATTATTATTATTATTATTATTATTATTATTATTATTATTATTATTATTGCCATTAAGTAAAATACATTTTAAAAGTGTTCTTTTATTTATTTATTTTTATTATTATTATTATTAATGCCATTAAGTAAAATAAAATTTGAAAGTGTTGTTTTATTTATTATTATTATTATTATTATTATTATTATTATTATTATTATTATTATTATTATTATTATTATTATTATTAATGCCATCAAGTAAAATAAATTTTTAAAGTGTTGTTTTATTTATTATTATTATTATTATTATTATTATTATTATTGTTATTATTGTTGTTGTTATTTTTTTCGTTATTATTATTATAATTGTCATTAAGTAAAAATTGAAAGCGTTGTTTTATTTATTTATATGTGTATTATTATTATTATTATTTTATTATTTTTTTTTTTTAGAAATGTATTTCTTTATTTTTAATGGCGTTAAGGTAATTATTAAATTATAAATACATTTCCAATACATGAATTTTTCACCATCTTTGACACGTCTTCCTTAAAAATATGACATAATAGTGTGATTTATTCATATCTGTCTTTTGACTGACACTAACATGCTTTTATATTCCTGTGTGCACCAAAACGAATTCTGTAACTTCTCACCCTATTTGTTGGTCTGTTTCAGATCATCGAGCTGGGGAAGAATGTGAAGAGCTACCACTACATCCTAGCGAACCTGGTAAGCTAAAAAACACAGTGTTCACTATGAGAGATCGCATGACTAATCCTCCGCATGAGGCTTTCAAATGTCACTGCTACTCTTGATATTACAGCTGATTTGCATATTTCCACTACTGGCCAATCATAAGAAGCCACTCACTATGACTAACGGATGAGCTCTTACATAAACATAGCCTGAAGAACTGTTCTGTGAAAATGAAAATAAAAAAAATACAAGTGATTTCTGCAGTCTGTATAGGTGCACTCGATGTATGAGAAAGGAGGTTAAATTGATTTCAAAGAGAAATGATGATAATCGCGGCATTAATATGCTGCTTGTGTTTCTGGATGGCACACTGCTGAGGATTTTAAATTAAAGCGGTCTGGCCGGTTTGTTAGATGTAATTGTAAATGATAAATGATAAAGGTGGCAAAGCAATAAAGATTTGCAACTGCCTGCTATTTCCATAATGGCCAATTTTTGTTTAAGAAGTGAGCAAATTACTCCCCGTGTCCTGACGGAGAGCTCAATTCTGTTTACACAGTGTTTGCATGTGAGAACGTGAGAGTGTATGTGTGTGTGTGTGTGAGTGGATGCCCATCTAAGCTTCCCCTCTGCGTCCAAGCCTTTTGGGTGAAGGCTAGTTTCTATAGTAACATCACCAACTCACTGCACCACATTTACAGGGACACCAAGCGGAAACCGATACAACTCCATCCATTCAGTCAGGCGATACGGACACCTGCTACAGGCACATTAGAGAAGAGAGGCTAGGGATAAGGACATATTGATTTTAATATCAATCATTTTCTTTTCCGAAATCCAGATATCTATTATTAAAATTGATTTTAGATGATTGAATTGAATTGACTTAAAAGTGATTTTTAACCAGAGTTTTTAAAGATGTATAGCTTTTTTTTATTTTTAATTTAGTTTAATTTAATTTTTGCACAGATATAATATAATATAATATAATATAATATAATATAATATAATATAATATAATATAATATAATATAATATAATATATTATATAATATAATATAATATAATATAATATAATATAATATAATATAATATAATATAATATTTATTCATTTTCTTTTCGACTTGGTCCCTTTATTAATCTGGGGTCACCACAGCAGAATGAATCGCCAATTTATCCAGCATGTTTTATGCAGTGAATGCCCTTTCTGCTGGAACCCATCACTGGGAAACATCTATATACATTAATTCACACTTATACACTACGGACAACTTAGCTTACCAAATTCACCTATATCACTTCTTTGGACTTGTGGAGGAAGTCTTACACAGGCCAGTGCATGCTTATTAAACAAAATCTCAATATGCTTTGTACTTTCATGGTCTTAAAAATTTTTTTTAAGGCAAATGAATTTATTTTTTATTGGCTCTAGTGATCAAATTTAGATGTGAAACCATTACCCTAATTTTTTTAATTGGATGAATGAACATTTTATAGGAATCTATATCTTCTTGTTTAGAAAAAAATGAGAATAAAAGTGATAAAAATTAGATGTGATCCATTAACCTAAATATTTTAAATTGGATGAATTAAAGCTGTTTTCCAGTGTAGTATCTGCTAAAAATGTAGTAATGTACAGTATGTGCTTAAAATAAAGAGAACAATATGGTTTACAAAGCCCAAAAAGAACAGTAACTATTAAGATTAACATAGAGCTACAAGGTAGTACTTTAAAACTCTTAAAATGGATGTGGAAACTGAAATACAAAGAAATTATTTGTAATACAATCAGTTCAAAATGAAATCTGGGTCAAATTAAGAGCTTCTGAATAAAATTGGAATTCAAATTTGGACATCTGGTCTGTTCAGTTACAGTAGATACAGATTTGCCATTTAAGTTATTAAATAATTAATCAGACATTTAGAAAAACATGACTGTGATAGTAAGTGTTGATATAATTAATCAATTCCTTGCACGTGCAATAAAAAAGGTCAGGAGAGGTTTTGGCCGCACCCATACATACGTCCTCTTTTTCTATGAATTATTCGCACAACATTACAAGCTTAAGATTCCACAACTGCACATATTCTGTGTTCAGTTTAGACACTTTTCTGCTGAAAGGAAGTTTAGCTGTAGAGCTCGAGTTTATTTTAAACAATCAGGCCTTTGCATTTCTGTCAGCTTTATCTACTTCTGCAAAAATGCTTTTTCAGTATGCAAAGCATATCACACTCAAGAGTAGAAGTTCAATTAATATATCACATTTAGGCAATACAAAACACAATTGTTTAATAAAAAGAAAAAGACAAAAAAAATACATTCTTTTACACACGAAAAAGAAAAAAGAAAAAGAGCTTTTTTCAGTATTTGGGAAATATCTTTATAACACAGATGGAGGCTGTGGATGATAATTCCCCCATAGTTCACATTCTGTATTTCTGTGTTTAACTAATCCTAAGTCCTCTGCTTAATTAACGTGATTTAAAAATGCATTAAGAGTACACAGGTGTCTCACCCAAAATCCTGCAATCCTTAAATCATTCTTTGTTCATAGTGAGTTTGTGTAGGATCAGATGGGCAAAAGCCCTCACTTTAGTTCTGGAGTGGGAGGACCGCCTACGCCTGAATTGGAGAATAATCAGCCTGCGCTGAAAGAACAAACCTGGCAAATACTGAGTAAATCCGTCAAAAACCAAAAATCAATTCTATCAGCCACATACAAGTGAAGGACATCATCAGCAGAGCCCTGTTCCAGCAAACAGGATGTCACTGTTGCTATGAGAGCAGATAGTCAACATGAGAGGGAATGCCAGAAGACATGCTGCTGACCGAAAGAAAAAAAAAAGTACGACATGGCCAATCAGAGCTGAGGCAGCGCTTCAGAAAGTAGATCGCTATTGTAATCAGAAGCATCTTAAATGACTTCTGCCCCCATTCCCTCCCCGCTTCTCTTCATTAGTTTTAGTCTCTCGAGTCCCTTAGTGTGTTTAACCAGGTCATCTGCCACACTGTTTACCTCATCTGTACTCTCCAACTGCTTACATGTCAATGCAGTTGCTATTGCTAATGTAAACAGTGCTATTATTTTACTAACTTCTCCTGAACCATTATAGCTTACTAGCTAAATTAATAAATCTGGCAGCAAGCAAGCAGTATATCCAGTTAATCTTTTGGCACCTGAAGATGGAAAATGATGGGCACTAAATATAAATGAATGAAATATGTAATGGCTGTTGCAATTAACGTGAAATATGCGACTGAATGATTAGTGTCAGATTGTTATTTTCAGTGATGAAAAGGACATCCAATCGCACCCAATTTGTTGAGTTTATGAATGCAGTAATCAATTGCCAGAATTTTTGCATGTGAATTTACTATTTTGTCACAACATTCTCTGCAGTCACAGGATGTCAACATAATGTCAGATTGACGTTTTACCCCAGTTTTGTGGAATTTTGTATTTTGACGTCAGGGTTGATGTCACAACTGAACGTCAGGCTGACGTCAGTGTCCAACATCGAACAGACGTTACATTTTGGTTACTTTCCAATGCAACCTAAAAACAACAAAACATCAATGTCTAAACATGTTAGAGCTTGACGTCGTGTGGATGCTACCATTATGACGTCTGTCAGACGTTGAATTTTGGATGCCATACCTGACGAATAAACGTCTGTATTTGACGTCAATATGACTTTGGTTTAAGATGTTGGCTCGATGTTGGATTTTGGTCACTTCACTGCACAACTTAAAATCATCCAAATATCAATGTCATTTCACGTTGTTATTGGACATCCAAATAACATTGTCCATAGACGTTGGCGACCTAAATCTAACCTTAAATTAATGTCTTATGATGTTGTGTGTCTGCTAGGTTGTACCCCTGTTTTTTAAAGAGTTTGTCTTCTCAAGTTATAATTGGCATACATTGTAAACAGTTTATTATTATCATTAGTAGATTATAGCATTGTTGATTGCAATTATTGATTAAATTGAAGTAATCACTTAGCTTCTGACCCCAATCATTTAGAAACTACCCAACACTTCTTAGCAACCACAAAGCAACAAATTAGTAACCTCTTACAATGATTCACCAATTTTTATACTGTGGCATTTATTATTATTATGAATTAGCTTTTATTTTTATTTCAATTTTATTATTAGTACAGAATATTTTCACATTATATCATATTATATTTATTTAAGACTTGGTATTGTTAGTTTTAGTCATCACCTGTGGTCTAGTTAGTCTATGTATCCCAAAACTTGAAGCCTTGGAGTGCATATACGTAGAAAGAGATAGTTCCCCCCAAATAAACTAAACGTTTTGAGATTTTATTTCTTTTTTTTTAACACAACACAATATATTTTGAAGAATGATGGTAAAAAGCTGTTATTGACATCCATAGAAGGACCAAGAAAATATAATTGAAGTCAATGGCAGTTGCTTCTTTACTGTTCACTAAAAGAAACTCAAACAAGGTTGGAACAAGTAGAGAATGAGCAAATGATGACAAAATATAATTTTTTTATGTGAACTATCCCTTTAAGACATCTGAACTTCTCTGTTCCTACAAAGTTTAATAACTGCATTTGTTTTTGATGTGACAGCTTTATGAGAGTTTCTGAAGAGTCCTCATGAGCGTTGCGCTTTTTGAAATCAGTGAAAGCTTCTTTCTGCAAACTGCTTGACTTTGTTTTCTCCTTTAATTTCAAATAAAAACTCTTTTGTTTGTCGAATGAGCTCTTGATTGCCTCCAAAGACTGTAGTCATCTTGACTGAGGGAAGAATGTGGCGTATTTAAAACTTGAGAGCTTGTGATGACAAGCGTCCCAGTTGTGCGCTCAGTTTCAGCCCGGCATAATATGTGCAGTGATGCAGACAGTCTGTGTGTCTCTGATTGCCTTGTTCACTCTCACCGTAGAGAGTGATGAGGCTGTGAAACGGGGTTGTGTGACGCTTCAGCCCAGAGGCCAGCTGTGTGATAGCACTTCCCTCTAAGAATTGATTTGACGTTACAGGAGACTTTGAGTTGTCCCTGTGGAACACTAGGTTACAGTTGGGAGACTATTATATTGGGTAAGGGATTTCACCCTTGGATTGAGGGCATTCAGGGAGTCGCAACACAAGGGGATGCTTAGGGTCATTCATTTATTAACTGAATGACCCTAAATAAATTAATGATCATATACTGTATACATATACAGTACATATATTAGGTATATATTAGGTATAGAGGGAAAATCTATATAGATTATAGATCTAGAGGGAAATATGTATATATTATATACGCCCGAAACTGAATTAATTAATTTTTTTTTTTTTTTAACTAGGTGCTTTTTCCCAACAAAATAACTGTGGATAGATAGATAGATAGATAGATAGATAGATAGATAGATAGATAGATAGATAGATAGATAGATAGATAGATAGATAGATAGATGGATGGATGGATGGATGGATGGATGGATGGATGGATGGATGGATGGATGGATGGATGGATGGATGGATGGATGGATGGATGGATGGATGGATGGATGGATGGATGGATGGATGGATGGATCAAAGGATTGTTTCTCTTTATTGTTGTTGGCACCATACTATTTAGGTTGACTGTCCTTCCCTCTCTGTATTTAAATGAACAAGCCACTGATATGGGTCAACATTGGCATATGGGACATGCCTATGGCGCTATTTCATTTCTGTCCTGTCAACGAGGATGTCAGTACAGGATATGATTGATTGCCCTGTCGACACTGTCAAATGCGACAAATGTCTCAAGATTTCTATCATACAGTCTGACACCATGAAAAAAATAAAACAGTAATCTGACTAGCATAATGTACACCCACACACTTCTGAGGCATCTAACAAGTAACAAAAGGACAAAAACTCCCTTGAGTTTGTGTGTGTGAGGGCAACTGAGGTAAGACACTAGCGTGGGGTCATGTCAGCAGCGCAGTGTATCTTGTTTGCTGCCCGATGGAGCAGATGTTCACAGGGAACGCAGGGACACGCTCCTGAGGGATTAAACGTGTTAGGAGACATGAAAAAAAATCAAAGATCAGCGCACTTACAGCCTGACAAAGACTATTACACTCAACGCTGAGTCAAAAACAAACACATTACAACACATTCAGTGCTGAGTCAAACATAAACAAGCCTTTAGTTTACAATTGGGAGACTGTTCGTATTATGTAAACTCTACAGTAGCTGTTTACGGTACCTGTTTATGTTAACACTACACTTCAACTGTTTGTGACCACTGTTTTTTCAACCTACATTCAAGACACCAATATCTTTATAAAGAGATTGACTATCTAAACTTAAGCATGAAATTTAGCATTACAATCATGTTGTCATGTTATTTAATAGTATACAGTGCATCTGAAAAGTATTCATAGTCTTTTTTTCACAATTTTTTTTGTTACAGCCTTATTTCATAATGGATTAAATTTATTTATTTTCTCAAAAGTCTACACACAATACCCTATAATAACAAAGTAGAAAAATATATTTTTTTAATTGTTGCAAATTTATAAAAAAAAAAAAAAAGCTGAAAAATCACATGTACATCAGTATTCACAGCCTTTTCCATGAAGCTCTGAATTGAGCTCAGGTACATTCTGTTTCCACTGATCATTCTTGAGATGTTTCAGTACCTTAGTTGGAGTTTGGTTGATTGGACATGATTTGAAAAGGCATACATCTGTCTATATAAGGTCCCGGGGTTGACAGTCCATGTCAAAGCACAAGCCAAGCATGAAGACAAAGGAATTGTCTGTAGACCTCCGAGACAGGATTAGATTGTCTTGAGGCACAAGGCTGGGGAAGGTTAAAGAAAAATTTCCGCTGCTCTGAAAGTTCCAATAAGCACAGTGGCCTCCATCATCCGTGGAAGATGTTTGGAACCACCAGAACTCTTCTAAGAGATTGGGGGAGATGGGCCCTAGTCAGGTAGGTGATCAATAATCTAATGGTCACTCTATCAGAGCTCCAGCATTCTTTTGTGGACTCTCAGACTATAAGAAAAACCTGCTTCATAGTGCTCTTGACCTCCGACTGGGGTGACAGTTCATCCTCCAGCAGGACAATGACCCAAAGCACACCGCCAAAATATAAATGGAGGGGCTTCACAACAACTCTGTGAATGTCCTTGAGTGGCCCAGCCAGAACCCAGACCTAAATCCTATTGAACATCTCTGGAGAGATCTGAAAATGCCTGTACACCTTTGCTTCCAATCCAACCTGACAGAGTTCGAGAGGTACTGCAAAGAGGAATGAGCAAAAATCTCAAAGACAGGTGTGCCAAGCTTGTGGCATCATATTCAAAAAGACTGCTGTCAAAGATGCATCAACAAAGTATTGAGCGAAGGCTGTGTATACTTATGTATTTTTCAGGTTTTTTATTTTTAATAAATTTGCAACCATTTAAAAAATCTTTTTCACATAGTCATTATGGGCTATTGTGTGTAGAAGTTTGAGGAAATAAATGAATTTAATCCATTTTGAAATGAGGCTGTAACAAAAAAATGTGGAAAAAGTAAAGCGCTATGACTACGTGAAATGAAACGTTCCCTAGTTAGATTGTGTACGTTGTGATCTCAGGTACGGTGTGTGTGGGCTGCTCTGGGGCAGCTTACTTCAGCTGATTGGATTTGGGGAAAAGACCTTGAATTACTAAATAGAGCCTGTGGGATCAAAGATAGACCTCCGGCAAACTCTCAAGATGTGCTACTGTTCTTTCTTCAAATTCCTACTCAAAGCTTCAGCATTTTCCAGCACCACATCGGATAACAACCGAGCTTTCTTGGATAACCAGCCTCAGTGGATGAAAGGGATTAGCCTTTTTCATTAAGCGATTGACCCAACCATTCTTTCTATTATAGTTTTAAACCCTACATTACATTTGACTGCACTCCACAGGCCCGGCCTCATGCTCTCTCTCTGCACCTGAACATTAATGCGAAAATGACTCCCTTGATTTCCTGTCAGGGTCTTAAGTTGGAAGTTTTAGCAATCGTCGGGGATTCGCCATTGCATTTTAGCACAGATTGGTTTCCCTTTTAAGTTTACACTGTAATGCTGGGTTCCACACAATTAATTTGTGTTGGAATAACATGAAGGAATCAAGTTAGCTTATTAGCCCCTCCAACTGTCACTTTTGACTGTGTTATGGCAACAAACAAAAATGGTGAGGAGGAGTTGTGTGTTAAGTTGTAATAACTCTCCCAAAACTCTTTTCAATATTTTGGAAGAAATGCCTTCCATACTACATCCAATCGGCTCACTGTAGAAAAACAAACCACACTCCTTGTTTACTCAGTTCATGCAGATTTTAACAGAAGTCTATAAAATGTAGGGAGGGCTGAGGTGAAACTGACATTTCGGCATAGTGTCAAGATCTGAAGCGCGAGTGCTTCGAAACACTCCACCAAAGCATGATCCGAAACACCAAGGTCACGTGACTAAAGGGATTCAGTCAATTTGAATGTATTGTGTTTGAAGTTCAATTGTGGCACAGAACAGATTGCTTCCTCTTTAAGTTTACGTTGTTAAAAATTCTGGGTTATAAACAAACAATTTGTGTAGGGATAACATCAAGACATCAAGTTAAATCACAGTATGTTATGTTAACGTGTAAACATGTTCTCTGTTTTTCGGTAGGGATTTTTGGACATTGACCTGACGGAGTTTAAGAAGGGTGAGGCGAATGTAACAGGCTTTCAGCTGGTGAATTACGCAGATCCTAATGTCAGCAGGACAGTGCAGCAGTGGATGGAGTTTGACAATAAAGATGCCAAAGTTCCCAAGCGAAGACTGAAGGTGAGACACTCCATAGACTACATTCAAACAATTTGCCATGTGAAGAATTAATTGTGTCAAACATAAGGATTATGCTAATAATCAGTCACAACATCTAGGGCCCATCATACATCCAGCTTAATAAAGTGCAAGACGTGTTTTGCACGATTTGTTGCAATTTTTAGACCAGCACAACCCTAATTTTCATGTTTTGTGCCACATTGTTTAAACAGCAAATCAATTTGTGCCACTTTGTGGACTCATGGGTGTGGCGGTCTAGTAAGGAGGTGTGTTAAGGTGCATTGTTGGCATGTTTTTATTTTAAGGGAACTGAAATAGATTGCACCATTGACCAACTAAAATCTGGTCTAAACTTCAAGGTAGAACGTGTTAGTTGTACACCTATGTGGGTCCAAAACACTTACACATTGCTTAGTACAAACGAGATGTACAGAAATACACAAATATCTTTACATATGAAAAAATAATAATAGTAAAGGATTAAAATGTTATAAATATAAAAACCATGCCTTCATCTCATGGGGACTTTTTTTCAATTTATTCATGACAGTTTGCTTTTGTATAATGTTCTTGTTATTATTATTAGTAGTAGTAGTATATATACTTATTTATTCATTTATTTATTTATTTATTTTGTATGTGTATATAGATATTTATATTTAGCATATTTATATTTATTGTATTTTTAAATTAAATATTTATCATATTTAATTTGTTGTTAAATTTTCCCGTCCTTAAAATAGCCATACGTTTTAGACTTTGCGCGTAGATCACAAAAATAGAACTTAAAAGGGAAATATGCCATGTTGGTATGTGTGCATGTGTATATATTTAATAGTTAATAATATTACAAAGTCATCGTATAGTAAATTTATTGAATATGCAATATAAAAAAATGAAAGAATTAATAGGCTTGATGTAATATAAATATGTATGCATCTTTGCTAGTTGGTATTTAATATTTCATTAAATATAAAATCTAATATTTATGGTGTATTCCACACACAATAAATAATTTATTTCTTGTATGTGTCTCTGCCTTCTTGTTGTATTCTCCATGCAGTACACTGGAGCTCTCACATATGATGGGGTCAAAGTCATGTCCACAGCTTTCCAGAACCTCCGCAGGCAGAGGATAGATATATCTCGACGCGGAAATGCTGGAGAATGTCTGGCCAATCCACCGGCACCCTGGGGCCAAGGCATTGACATTCAGAGAGCGCTTCAACAGGTATCAACTCAACACGGCATACTTTTAATCTCACCAACACAAACTTTCCCATCTGCAAGACTGACACTTGTTCTAATATATTCTGAGTGCACAAAATGAAACCCTAATAAGCAAATTAGACCTTTATTTTATCTCATAAAGTTCACCGTGATTCAGCGAAAAGACCACCGCAATCGAATGTGACACCGCAGATAATAAACAAAGCCATTTGGCGATGAACATTTATGTTGGTCATAACACCAAACGACAAGTTATATTTATAAAGAAATATGTGAGGCAAAGAACACCTGGTTTTCTTTAGCAGATATTTGTCTCTTCGCCTCAAGTGTAGATTAAACACTGAGGATTGAATTTGGCATGCGAGATTGAGTAGAAACAAAATCTGACTGAAAGTAAAACTAAGCATATTGATTTTGTTAGCTCACATTGCTGGTTTTGTGGTGAACAATTCATCTGTGGATGCCATAAAGAAGAAAATAATAATGTTTGTAATCTAAAAGTTAAATCTGAAAATGCACTTCCTGTTTGTTTTTATTTCAATTCTTAAATTACATCTGACTGAGGTTTGGGTGTGGCTAACATGCTTAATCACACCCTCCAACTGTCAATTTTGACAGCCCTAAGGAAACAAACAGAAATGGTGAAAACGAGGTGTCTGTTACCTTGTTATAACTCTTCCAAAACTCTTTTCCTGGTTGTTCTGATTAAAATGCCTACTTTACTACATTCAGTCAACTTACAGTAGAAAAAAACAAGCCACGCCCACTCATACTCACACATTTATTATTCCGTTTCTCTAGAAACTACATCACAGTTTAAAAAAAGAAAGAAAGGTTGCAGGTTTTGGTTCATGCAGACTTTAATTGAAGCCTGTAAAATGTCTTCTGCTTGTGTGTTTCTCCATTTAACTAAAAAATTTAATTTTGGGAGCAGAATCTAAGTCACTATGTTGATGCTCTAAATGTGCAATACAGGCAGATTTTCATGTGGAATAATTTCAAAAGGCTAAAGACCAAAATCTTTTGTTCAAAATTGATTTTGTTAGCTCACATTGCTTGTTTTGTGGTGAACATCTGTGCATGTCATTAAGTAAATAAAAAAATATGTTTGCCCTTGTAATCTAAAATTGCACTTCTTGTTTGTTTTTAGTTAAAGTCTCAGATTAGGTCTGTCTGAGGTATTGGGCGTGGTTAACATACTTAACCACACCCCTACAGCTGTCAGTTTTGACTGTGTTATGGCAACAAACAGAAATGGTGAAGAGAAGATGTGTTAGGTTGTAATAACTCTTCCAAAACCCTTTTCCAAATTTTGATATTTCATAATTCAGTGAAATGTCTTCTATACTACATCCAATTAGCTTGCAGGAGAAAAAACACACACCCACTTTTTGCTCATTTATTACTTTGTTTTGCTAGGAACTACATTACAATATTAAAAAAATGGTTGAAGCTTTCGGTTCTTGCAGATTTTAATGGAAGCCTATAAAATGTAGGTATGGTTGACGTGAAACTGACAATTCGATACCGTGTCGAGATCCTGAAGCGAAAGTGTTTCGGAACACTGCATCGAAGCATGATCCAAAACACGTGACTAAGGTGATTCGAAACACACAGGTCATGTGACTAAAGTGTTTCAAAGCATCGGTCATTTCAGAAGCCTTTCAAGGACTGGCGAATCTGCGTTTGACTAACAGGGTAAAAACAAAAATGGAAATAAAAACTCTCTCATGTAGCCTTGTGGACTGTGCGTGTGCCACAATGTTCGAATCCCGACGTGTACAATTACTTTATTTTAATAATATAATTTAATAATGTACTCTTTTTTTTTACCAAAACAAGACATGTTTATTCACAAAGTGTTTATTCAGACCAATGTTAAACAAAAACTAACATCTATAGCTGCACACCCTTGATTCAAACCCATTATCTCTGCATGTTAATCTGGAACGCTCACCGCTCCACTAAATCACTTGAAACTCTTCCACGTGGGGTTAAATACCTCAATTTGCAGAACTGTTTTTTGCTGAAGCTGTTTAAGTTCAAAAATAAAAACAAATGACCACTAGGTGTCATTGCAGAGATTGGTTTCGAAGCTTCGACATATTTGCTTCGACTGTTTTAGTGTTTCATAAAGCCTTGCTTTGCCCCCCACTAATAAAATGTCCTTTGCTTCAGAAGTCGTTTTTCACTTCTGTGTTTCTTCTTTAACTTAAACGTAAGTTGGAATGCACCACAATCTAAATTGTTGTGCTTATGCTCTAAATGACAATCGCTAACAAGACTTACATTTACTATTTAAAATGTATTCATTAATTTATAATTTTATTTATATGATTTTTAATTAAACTACAATTTTATTGTACAGTTTATGTTCTGGACTTGCATACAATCTACACTGTAGATTGGAACAATAACAGAGACCAGAAATGAAGAGCTAAAAACTAATTATTGTGTTTTCTGAAAGTATACAATCTAAAATAATTATGAATTGTAAAAAACAAATTACAGTTATATAAGAAATAAATCAGAAATTCCTATTAGAATCAGCCAATTTGCTTGTAAAGAGATCAACAATCGAAGTCAGCTGTGAAAAATCAACACGGTGCATCACTAAATATAAGCCTGAAGAGGTTCAATCAATGTCGTAAAGTCAATTTGTAGCATTCTTCTTGTGGAGGTAGGCTCTGTATCACAGATGCCCACGGCTGTGTCTGATGAGAGTCTGATGTGTGCTGGACTGAGGCAATTTGGTCCATCTGCTGAGAGGCTGTGGAGATTGATGTTCAGCTCGGTCAATTAACTCCATCATGCGGCCTGGGAGACATTCAGTACTGTACACACAGAAGAGGCACTGAGAGACATGTACTAGAGAGAAATACTTGAGGAGCAAAGTAACGAAAGAAGGACCTCTGTCATTTCTTTTGTTTGAATAAAGACATCTTCTGGGTGTTTTTTTTTTACTAGGTTCGGATTGAAGGCTTAACAGGACACATTCAGTTTAACGAGAAAGGACGAAGGACAAACTACTCTATCAGTGTGATGGAGCTCAGGCCGACGGGACCAAAGAAAGTAAGTACTTAAATATCACAAAAGGGATTAGCCTTTAGATATGACTGACTGTTTTACACTTTTCAGATTAATTTTTTCACAGACTTAATAAGCTCCAGTATGGTCAATGTTTCAGCAGCTTCTTTGGGTCCAACTAAATGAGTACTGTAGTTTATGTATAGTCTCCTGTGGGAATTCTCAGAAAGGTTTCTGATGATGCTCAAGTTCCTGTCCCTGATTTGATCTTTTCTCAGGTGGGTTACTGGAATGAGGATGAGAAATTTGTGAGCACGGCGGCCTACATGCCGGGAAGTAATGAGACTTACGGACTTCAGAACCGCACATATATTGTTACCACTATTCTGGTATGTCTTCTTTAATACATTTATGTGAATACTGGTTGAAACTTGTCCCTGGTCAAAAAAGAAATGTATGTCATATTACCATTCACAAATTTAGGATTATTTAGATGTTTGGTGACACTTCAGTATAAGGATAAATTCTCTCTATTAACTATTGTTTTATTACTTGACTATTATTATGATATTAGAGGTTTATTAGTCCTTATAAACGACATATTCCGCATGATCTTTTTTTACATCCCTAATACCCAAACCCAACTACTATCCTATATATATATTAATATGCAGCAAATTAGGAGTTTATTGAGCTAAATTTCGTAGTCAATGGTTTGTCAATAGTGAGAAATGTACCTTAATGTGACCATATACACTACTTACAACAAGTTAGAGATATTATTATTTACATAATTTTCCTATTTGCTCTGAATTTGAAAGAAATAAGTTAAAGTTTCCTTTGATATTATTAATAATGTATAAGAATAAACACAATTTTCATTGCTTTAATATTCATTACCCCAAAAATGAATACGATAATAAGGATAACCCCAAATAAACAAAAATTGACAATGTCAGTAGTGGGTGTTTCCACCATTTGCCACAATGACAGCTTGACAGCAACGCCTCATGCTCCCCACCAGGCTCATGATGTTGTTCCGAGGCAATGCGTTCCACTCTTCCACAAGTGCTACATTCAGTTTTGCTAGGTCCAGTCTCTGCCTCAACTGGTCCCAGACGTGCTCTATGGAGTTCAGTTCAGGGAACATTGATGGCCATACCATATGAGGCACTCCAACTTCCTGAAGTCGAGCTGTGACAAGTCTTCCACGATGTGGTGGAGCATTATCATTCATGAACCGAAAGTTGGGGGTATGCCGGTTGAATCAACAATAACCAAATCTGTTTTGCGCTGACTGGTGATGCCAGCCCATACTTGCAACTCCTTTAAAAAAACAAATCCTGGGGACCTGGCTCACATTGCCTTCTCCATCAACTCTGATGACCATCTTTTTTGTTCAAGATGACCCAACCCTCATCAGTTAGCAGGACAGTAGAGCACAGGTCATATGGTTTTGTGCCCACTGCAAACGTTGTCAGTGAAGTCACCTGCAACAGTCATCTGGCATTCAAGCCAAAGCATGGAGTTGGTTGCGATTGGTTTGTCTAGAAACCCTAGTACTCCTCACATCTCATAAATGGGCCTGCAGCTGTGTGGCAGTTGCATGTCTGAGTGCAGAGGTTTCTAGGTAGTGGTCATTGTTGCGGTCTGTCACTTGTGGGGCTGCACCTCTGGGTCTGTCATCAACCAGTAGTTCTATGTCTTGCCAGTAGTTCTGTGTCTTGATGCAAGTCTGCTGATGACACTTTGAGACACACCAAGTTCACAAGCAACATCTGACTGCCTGCCATCGACCCAAAGGTCCGCCATCGTCAGGTGACACTGCTGTGCGTCCGTTAAGTGAAGTTGTGTTAATGGTTGTTTGAATGATGAACTTGGAATAACATAATGACAATTCCAGCTTCTTATATCCACAGAATGTTGAAATTGATGCCACATTGAAAAGGCTTGTCTTTTGGTATTGGCCCCAATATAAGGCACACCTGTACACAATGAGACCACATTGAAAACACAAAATGAGGTGTGTCTATCACCCTAATACAATTGGCTCCCTATGCCGAAAATGTCTAAATTGAAGCAAACACTGTATGTATGACATCCATTAAGTCACAATATACTCTGGTTGTCTGTTCACATCCTGACATCTTTATAAATATCGTTATAAAGTCAGTTTTATGTAAATCCAGTTCAGTTCAATGTGAAATGGTAAATTATGTGATTCACTAGGACCCCATCCCAAAAAGTGATTGTTGAAAGAAACCCAAACTCTTTCTTGTCACACCAACAAATGAACAGTGAATTTAGCCAACAATAGTGGACTATCATAAAAGTATGACGGGTGTCCTTTATGGTAGAGCTTGAGGTCTCAGCCGGTCCCAGATGTGATGTATTGAAGCTGGCCTTGGGAACTGTGTAGAGGATTTGTCTGGTCACTGAAGTTTTTGCAGAGGATCAGTCCTTAGACCTTGTCTAATCAGTGTCTTTGCTGACCATGGAGAGCTCATCCTCATTGCAGGTCTACCATCTGGGCTGGATATGGAACGGTTCCAAGTGGCTGTGTTAACCTCAGGAGAAGAGAGAGACAGACAGACTAACATATGCATAGAGGCCATGTTGTTTTGGGAATTGTTCCCAGTTCCAGATTACCTCATTAATGCAGTTTAGCAATCCCTTATGGGGTTTGAATTTTAATATTGCGATTGTGCATTATATGTGTATGCTATTACTAAAATGTGTGTATAGATTTAAGTCATTAAGAGCATATGTTGTAGTTTAGAGATATTAAGTTAAAAAAATACATTATAGATGTAGCCTCCAAATTACTATTGAACAATACAGCTGAGTTCTTTGATAAAGCATTTGTCAAGCATTAGGCAATATTTTTGCTTTGCTTTTGTTTTGTTTTTGTTATTTAAATTTTGGGTCCCCTAAACATCAGTTTTTTGTTTGTTTCTAATTTTATTAGTAGCAAGTTACTCGTCATCCAGTTTTTAAAATGTGTTTTGTGAGTTTTATAAATTGATTCATATTGTAAGGCCACAGGAAAATATAGAGTTTAGTCTTCTCAGAGTAAGTTTAAATACTAACTTAACTGACATATTTTTAACTCTTTGTTTAGTGATACAAATTGTTAGGATTCAAATAGGCATGATTTAAACTGTGCTGCTGCAATCTCAGTAATACCAAAAAAGGGGCTATCTTAGCAGTGACAGACACAATAATCTTAAAGTGTTGTGTTTTTTGACTTACCACTAACAATAAGACATTTTTTACACTGTATCAATTTGTTCAAACAGTTCATAATTCAGTGTAGCTTGCTTATAGTTTTAACTAAGTATGAGTTGCTTCGTCCTCAACACTGGTCAGATGAAAATATGGGAATTCAGACCATAAACTGCAAAAAATATGGATGTAGTATCCGTGTCGCCACCCATAGGTTTTTGAAGAGCGCAAATTAAGCTACAAGTGGGTGTGGCCAACCATCTCCATGTTGTTTTGACATTATCGTGCCGACCGGGTGTAACCAAAAAAGGACTAGCATTTTGCTTGGACTGGCTTCTCTTTGGGAGAAACGCTTAATACTTCATTACCTGTGATTCATTTGTGTTGTGATCACATGTGCTTGGCTGTATACTATATCAATAAAGTGTTTAGTCTTTTAAAAACACTGTTGTAATACATTTAGCTACTAAGCATTGTTCTAATGACGTCTCTGCACAGGAGAAAAATGCTAAATACTTCAAATATAGTCTGTGTTAGTAAATGCACGGCTATTTATGAAATCCAGGCATAATGCTGTATGACAACGTTTCAGATGACTGTTTTATAACCTACAGCTAATCAATCTTTCAGATGCTGGAGTGCATTCAAGTCCTAAAAAATTTATGAATGATAATGATCTTAAATAAAACACATAAATGTATATATATGCGATATAAGTATATTAGAATTTCACTCCCCTAGGAAATGGAGGCCACTTGAATGGTTTGTGAGCAAAATTAAGCGCACAACATGCCATATTATCAGATAGTTATAAGAAAAAATTCCAAAAGACAATTAACTGTGTAAAAGCCACATAAAATAAAACAAAAATACGATGTATATGCAGAGTTCAGCAGCTAATCAGCCAGAGGTGGTGACAGCGACCAGCGAGACCTAGCTGTCATTCTAGTGGCCACGCCCTTAATTATGCAGACTTAACATAGCTTAATATAAACAAAACGAATGAGTTAAAATAAAATGTATTCATTTTCTTGTCGGCTTAGTCCCTTTATTAATCCAGGGTCGCCACAGCGGAATGAACCGCCAACTTATCCAGCAAGTTTTTACGCAGCAGATGCCCTTCCAGCCGCAACCCATCCCAAAAAAATTCCAGTTTTTTGTACCAGGCTGTAAACACCTGTTTTTATGCTGTAAAATTGGCCCTTTAACATTGGGATCAATAGAAATGTGCTCTATTTTGGATCCAGGACTAGCGGAATTTTGATGAATTGCAGTTTCAGTTACTTTTGTATTAGCTTCATGCGGGAAAGCTGGATGTTGCTGCTTGAATCAGGTCTACCCATTTTAGAATACTTGATGTATCCCCTTCATGCTTTTATCCTTCAGTATGACCGTAATGCTGCTCTGTGCAGATAAAAGCATGAAGGCTTTTCTGTCCTCAGTCTGTAAATGAGACATTATTGCTCCTCCAGCCACAGTGTTTTCATCTTAAACGTAAAGGGGAACCTTGGATTGAATTGCCAGCAGTGGACAAAAGATTAATTTTCCTTTTCTTTATCCTTGCTGGGCAGAGATTGTTGGGCTTAGTCTGCGTTTTAGCGATTCTGTCGCAAGTTAGGCTTCAGAGGGCATTTATTAACCTTTCATATGTGGACTGCCCATCACTAGCCCAGCCAGAGAAAGGGCAGAGTGAGTGGACTGGCCTCCCGATGGAAGAACGTGGGGGGAATAGTTGATGTTGAAAAGAGCAGTAATGGATCATCGGTGTGGGTTAGGGGCTAAGCGCTCACAAGGGAGTGGGATGGATTGCAGGAAATAGTTTGAGCTATGCTGGTTGTCCTACAGAGACTGTTTATCAGAGCGGCTGGGAATAGTCACATCACCACGGGTGCTCCAAAGAATGATCTGTTTCTCTGAAAGACAGCGTGTAGGCCATCTCAGAGGTCTGTATTAGAAGGAAATGTGATGCCGCTGTTCAGGTCTGTTTAGATGCACTGCAACACAGCTGGGTTCAAAAGTTTTGTCGTGCTGAAGCATTTGCATATATGATGCAGTATTCAGACAGTTGGTGCTTTGAGGTTTGCGAGACTTGACAGTTTAAGCGTTCCTGTTGGAGATTAAGGGGGCATTTTCATGCTACCGTTTCAACTAAAACTGGAAAACTTTTTTTGCCTTATGGATGTTCATTTACACAACATCACCATGTTAGACGACTGAAAAAGTACTTTTTTGAAAATGTTTTTCAAAGAGCATGTTTTTGAAAATGTTATCTTTGTTTATTGCAAAAACATGATTTTGTGAAAACTGTGTATGCTCATTCTTTTATACCAGCTTATGATGCATAATACAACATATTACATCATATTTCTAACATTAAGAGGTCTTCAACGTAGGCATATTCTGAAAACGTAGCCATAAATAGATTTCTGGAGATTGCGAAATATGTAGCCAGAAGTACTTATGGTTGCATTTCATGTTTAAAATGGATGCTACGGGGCGGTATGATGCTGTCCCTCTTTGCACTTACCAGCTGACCGCTTACCTTCACATGGATGGCTTTCCCGCTGTTACCATTTTGTCCAGTGGCTTGCCATGTACGCTGGTGGACTGGAGTTGACCACGACAACATGGTTCGAGTATGGCGAAGAACAAGTGTAATAAAATCTGAAAATGTAGTTAAAATCAGGCGAGGGCTTTTCTTTTTCTGAATTGTTTTTTAAACCTATTGGGGGGTTTAGGGAAGGAGGTGGGCAGGTCAATCGGTGCTTTTGAAAGCACTATTGGTTAGGTTTAGGGAAAGAGGAGGGTGTTTTTTTTGGTGGATTTACTCAAGAGCAGGCACAAATGGCACTCACAAGAACATTTTCAGATCTCAAAAGACATACACAGAGGTAATCGCGGAAACAAAAACTGCAAAAAAAAAAACATCTCCTGGGATATATTTGGTGCTCTCCAGAAATATATATATAGTGCTACATTTTTAGAATAAGCCTGGGTTTTATCAGTGGGTATCAGCTGATAGATATGGGCCAGTAGGGGCCTTCTGCGCCTACTGGCAGGCTCAGAAGGTTGTTATCCATCCACGTGGCTAATAGAGTATGGACTCCAGATCCCGGTCTGTTTTTAAATTACTGTGATGGTTGGGTTTAGGGTTGGGGTAGGGGTAGACGTATAAATATATAGTATAAATAATTCTTGTTAACTTCCGGTCACTGCTGTATGTGATCTATAGCTGATTAACCATAAGGAAGGATGATAACAGCCTTCTGTGCCTACCAGTAGCCCCAGAAGGCCCCTACTGGCCCATATCTATCAGCTGATAACCGCTGAGAATGTTCATTCAATCAAGTGATAACATTTGAATCGGCTGCCTTAATACTGGGTTTAAAAAAACACAATGCATATACAATATGGATATATGTAAAATGTGTTGAGGTCAGAATTATTAGCACCAATGATTTATTATCCCCCTTGTTTATTCCACCCCCTCACCCCCCAATTTCTGTTTAATAGAGAGATTTTTTTTCAACACATTTAATAGTTTTAATAACTCATTTCCAATAACTGATTTATTTAATCTTTGCCATGATGACAGTAAATAATTTGACTAGATATTTTTCAAGACACCTCTATAGCTTAAAGTGACATTTAAAGGCTTAACTAGGCTAATTAGCTGAACTTGGCAGGTTAGGCTAAATAGGCAAGTTATTGTATAACAGTGGTTTGTTCTGTAGATTATCGAAAAAAAATAAATAACTTAAAGTGGCTAATAATTTTGTCCTTAAAATGGATTTTAAAAGATCAAAAACAGCTTTTATTCTAGCCGAAATAAAACAAATAAGACTTTCTCCAGAAGAAAACATATTATAAGACATACTGTGAAACTGCTAAACATCATTTGGGAAACATTTAAAAAAGAAAATAAAAATTCAAAGGGGGGCTAATAATTCTGACTTAAACTGTATATGCATTGTTTATTTATTTATTTATTTATTTTTTGTTTATTTGCTTTTTCATTTAAGGGCTAATTCAAAATGTGCACCTACTAATGGTAAATCGAAGGAACAATGGTCACTTAAGTTATCTATTGGTCTCCAGAGCTACTTAAAGTTTTGAATTCTGATAATTGCTTGAAATGATCTCCTTACGTCTCTTTATTAAGAAAAAACACTTTTTTTGTTGTACCCATAATTTTATCTATTTAATATTTTGTGTTCCTAAACTCTTCAGCTTAGTCACAGTTGTGCACCATGAGGAAAACACAAACATCAAACTCACTTGTTTTCTTGAGAAGCTGTTTGACCATGAGTTTGCTTCGCTTTACGTCACCTTTTGATATTTTTCTATTTCTCCTCCTTTTTCTATCATGCTATTTTTTTCATTGTGAGCTCCCTTAGAAAAGTCCTTTTACTGAGTGAGCTGTCAGCTGGGCCTCAGGTGCCGTTTGTGCTGTAATCTCGTCCAATCTTTCTGAAATATCACAATTGAACTGCTAACTCATATTACAGACCCTCCACAAATAGAATCACCCTACACTTTCTACACGACTGATTGCCAGGTCTGTCCCGGATTCTCAAGAAAAGCCACCTAAAAATAAACCTGTCAAAATCCCCAAGTTCTAAGTAACAAACCACTCTCTTGTGTGCTTTGTCAACTGTTGCCTGCTGTGGCTCTCTGTGTCTGAAAGTGTGGTTTCCATAATGCTACAGCGAGTCTGTTGAAATAAATGAAAACTGTCTATTTCAGAAATTACTATTGTAAAGCATCAGTAATGACTATCATAGTATTATACAGTGATAATCAGAAGTTAAAAACATAGTTAAAGTGTAAGGGTACACACTTTGTTTTAAGGTACAAGTCTCGCAATTAACAAACCATTAACTGTGACTTTTGCCTCAATTAACTTAATCTTATTTGCTGCTTATTACTAGTTATTAAGGGTAATAGTAGGATTTAGGGTCACACTTTATTTTGATGGTCTGTTTGTTGAATTTAAGTTACACTGCATCTACATGTCAACTAATTCTCATTTGATTATAAGTAGACTGTTAGGTTGGGGTTAGGGTTTGTGTAAGTTGACATGTACTTGCAAAGTTTCTTACAGTCAGTTAAATGTCTGTTGAAAGCGCAGTATCAGCAGATATTAAGCAGATGGTCTATGGATACTCAAATGGACCATCAAAATAAAGTTTTACCAGATTTAGGTATTAGGTAATATTAGTGATGTAGAATAAGATCATGTCAAATATGCTTTATAAGTACAAATAACCAGCCAATATCTTAACAATAATCAGGTAACAAGACACTAGCTAATTGTGAGAATTGATACTTAAACTAAAGTGTCACCAAATTTATTGTAAGATGGGTTAAATACAAAGCATGTAAGATATATTTAGAACATGAATCATTTGTTGACATTTTAAAACACTCTAAGAATCCCATTGCAATCTTCATCAATAATAATTAATTGTCATTTTAAATCACACTGTTTTGCCTCTATCGTTCAGACTAAGCATTTTAGATATTTGTGAAATTTTTTTTTTAATATTTGAAATATTGTACATAATTGTAATTTAACAAAATCACTTGTAGGTATATAGGTCAAAACAAATACAGTATGTTGTCATATTTACATTATTGTTATTTTGAATCACGATGGATCTTTTTTTCTCCTTTATTTTGACAATTTATGTTTACAAAAGTTATTTTAAACATAACATTTAAATACATTGAATACATAAAATGTAAACATTAAATAAATTTAATAAACAAAAAATGTTATGTACTTGTTGAAATGCGTATTAAGTGTCTAACTTAATATGCTTTTTAACAAGTATATAAAATAAATTTAATAATTTTATTATGATGTAGGCACCAAAATGGAAAACCTTGTCATTCACTCGTAAGAAAATGACAGAACGGAACTTCCATTTGAATACCAGTGGATTTGCATTGGAAATAAATGTCATTTATACCTTTTTATGTTTGAATCCCAATAGATCTGTAAACAAACATACAGTAAATATTTGTCATTCAATATATATTGCTTTTTGCCATTGTGTGCTGCCTAGGAATCTCCATATGTCATGCTGAAGAAGAACCATGAACATTTCACAGGAAACGATAAGTATGAAGGTTATTGTGTGGAACTGGCTGCAGAGATCGCCAAACATGTGGGATACCACTACATACTCAAGATAGTGGCTGATGGGAAATATGGAGCCAGAGATGCGGAGACCATGATGTGGAATGGGATGGTAGGAGAGCTTGTCTATGGTGTAAGTGATGTGTCTTACTTCCTTACTATATGATATATCCCAACAAAATATCAGAGTGGTCAGGATGAATGCCATGGTAAATTTCACACTCAATGTTTTAGATAATCTGTAATGTTGGCTTGAAGGCTTAACCAGACAGTTTTAATATTTTTTAAAAGTAACAAGTATTCATTTATAATTAGTTAGCATGTTTTAATATGTTACTAACATGTTTTAGCATACCAGGATGTTTTAGTATGTTGTTAGCACATTTAAACATTTTGGAAGCACTTTATTTGAATGTTAGCACATTTAAACATTTTGGAAGCACTTTATTTGCATGTTTCAGTATGTTACTAACATGTTTTAGCATACCAGCATGTTTTAGCATGTTGCTAGCACATTTAAACATTTTGGAAGCACTTTGTTTGCATGTTTCAGTATGTAACTAACATGTGTAGCACACTAGCATGTTTTAAAAGGTTGCTAGCACATTTTAACTCTTGGGAAGCACTTTGCATGTTTCGGTATGTTACTAACATGTGTTAGCACACTAGCATGTTTTAAAAAGGTTGCTAGCACATAATAACACTTTGGGAGCACTTTTTTTAGCATGTTTCAGTATGTTACTGACATGCTTTAGCACACACACACGTTTTAGAGTTTTGCTAGCACATTTTAACACTTTGGAAGCACTTTGTTTACATGTTTTAGTATGTTACTAATATGTATTAGTACATAACATTAGCACACAAGTTAATAACCTGTTTTGACACATTCCTATAATGTTTTAGTATGTTTGCAAAGGGTTTTAACATTCTTGTTTGTTGCTAACATGTTTTAACACACTATTAACATGTTCAAAACACGTTTTAGTATGTTACATGTGCTAGCAGGTTTTAGTACATTGTTGGAATGTTTAGAAATGAGCCAGAAAAAATACTATTGCCATAGATGATATATATTATATATTATCAATATATTTCATGTATTATAATAACAGAATTAGAAAAAAGCCTTCCTGGAAATACATTAAGATTGAGAAAAATAAGTTAGGGGACAAACACCCATTGAAGACAGAAAAATTTACCCAAAAAGGAACTTTGTTCCTGGTTCAAGTGTAATTTAATAATGTAACAATTTAGCATTTATTACAATAACGTCACATGTCCCTGCAGAAAGCTGATGTAGCTGTGGCCCCGCTGACTATCACCTTGGTCAGAGAGGAAGTCATTGATTTCTCCAAGCCCTTCATGAGCCTGGGCATCTCCATCATGATCAAAAAACCCACCAAATCTAAGCCTGGCGTCTTCTCCTTCCTGGACCCTCTGGCCTATGAGATCTGGATGTGTATTGTGTTTGCTTACATCGGCGTGAGCGTGGTACTTTTTCTGGTCAGCCGCTTCAGTCCCTATGAGTGGCATGCAGATGACTGTGAGGACGGAGCAGAGGAGAACCCAAACCAGCCGTCCTCATCATCCGCCCAACCGGGTCAGAACCAGCAAAACCAGAACCAGCAGAGTCAGGAGCAAACCAACGAGTTTGGCATCTTCAACAGTCTCTGGTTCTCACTGGGAGCTTTCATGCAGCAGGGCTGTGACATTTCCCCCAGGTGAGATGCCAGTTTGTGTTTTAATTCAGTTCTTCCTAGTATGTTTTGGCATTATATTATATTTCAAGTGGAGACTCAACACTGCAGTTGGTTCAAATATTACATACAGCAATGTATTCTAGATGATGCATGATTCATTGTTGAAAGAAGATTCATGGGATTTTGATTTAAAAATCAATTGGATGTTATTGCTAAATGACACTGATTTGCCAGTGCATATTAAACATTTAACAAGGGCAGTCACAGCAATCATTCAGATCTGCATTTGACTCTATAAAGAGCTCGTATGGATAAGAAACAAAAAGCGTTAACTGAAGTACTGGGAAAAATGTCAAAATTTTACACTTGCTTTAAAACATGGGTGTCCAAACTAGGTCCTGGAGGGCCGGTGTCCTGAAGAGTTTAGCTCTAACCCTAATCAAACACACCTGAACCAGCTAATCAATCTCTTACTAGTTATACTAGAAACTTCCTTGCAGGTGTATTGGAAGCTAGTTGGAGCCAAAATTAGATGGACACCGGCCCTCCAGGATCGAGTTTGTACACCCTTGCTTTAAACAATATTTATATTGATTACATTGTTAAATCAGTAGGTGGTGACTGTCAATTGGAATGTGTCTCAAAATTGGCATACTTCCTTTCTACATATTGGGGTAAAAACAGTATGCAAATTTGTAAATTTGGCTCAGTTATTTAGTCTGTCGAGTCTGTCAAGATTCTGAAGTGAGCAAACACTGTACACTTCATTATCCAACCCGGGCTAATTGTGGAAACGTAGCCCCGCGGACGTTTCTGCGGACTGCGATTTACGTCTCGGGAGGTACGTGTTCGAGCGGTTTTTGTTTTCACGGATCCGCGAGAGGCCGCTGTGCGCGCTTTTTCGCGCCTCCTCCTCCTCCTCCTTTCCTAAACCTGAGCGACGGTTCGCAAAAGCCGTCCAGAAAAAAAAAAAATCAAAAGCCCTCTTCTTCGATTTCGACCGCGTTTTCGGATCCCGCCGCGTTCTCGCCCTTATTTTTCGGATTCCGTTTTTCGTCTTACCTGATTTCCGGAACCTGCTGTTCCCCGGACTCGATCCCGGTCGTCGTCCCCACGGCCGGCTCCGGCTCCTCCTCCGGGGCCTCCGCTCCGCCGACGCAACGCTGTGAGCTAAGCGGACAAACTGGTTGCATCGGGAAAGCCCTCCACTCGGAGGCGAGCCATCGGCCGGCAAGCACGAAGAGGAGGGGCGGAGTGGCGCCACACCACCCCGCAGCGTTCGCTCGAAAAAAACTAAACGCGGCCTTACGTACCTCTGGTCATGTAAATCGCGGTGTCCAGAAACGTCCGCGGGGCTACGTTTCCAGAATGAGCTTGGGTTGTCATTATCCTATGAGGCCACAGGAGAGGATTTGTATGTATTGGATATGTGTGAAATGGTTTATCATTGATTTTTACATTTTGATGAGTTCAGAAGACCCACAAAGGGCCCTGTTATACACCCGATGCAATAAGGCGCAAGACGTGTTTGGCACGATTTGTTGCTATTTTCAGACCAGTGCAACCCTAATTTTCACATTTTGCACCACCTTGTTTAAAAAGCTAATTGTTGGCATGTTGCTAGTTTGAAGAACTGAAATAGACTGCACCATTGACCATCTGAAAGCAGGTCTAAAGTCACTTGCAGAGTGCTTTAGTTATGCACTTATGTGGGTTCAAATGCTTACACATTTCTAAATACACACAGGATGTAAAGCAATACACAAATATCTTTCCATATGAAAAAAAATGTAATATAAATATTATTTATAATTATATATTACATTATTAAAATTATGAATTTACGTTTTTAGTTTATTCATAAAAATTTGCATTTGTATAATGTTATTATTATTATTAACTGTATTATTTATTATTTGCATATTAATATTTGTTTAAATATAAACAAGTTAAATTTGTCATCCTGTCGGGTTTTGGAGACGAATGCGTCACTATAAGGGGCATAAGAATAGGATGTGTGTTTGGATATAACTGTTTTTTGACCACACTTCGGTATTATTGTTCATTTATTAATATGCTAGAAATCAGAACTGAATTTAGTAATAATTTTGAAACAAATCTTTGTGCTTGACAAACAAAATTAAATATGTAGGCTAATGGATATCTTCAGTGAAGTGTGTACAATACCATTTCCTTATCCACAAAAGAAAAGGAGTAAAGAGAGAAAGTAAAGAGGCTGAATGGAGGAGGCTCATTCTTTATCCTTGCTGCATATGGTTTGTTTAACTGTTTTCTCGCTAGTGAAGCATTCAGTTTTTTCACTTACAAAGTCCACCATGTAAATAGCCAAAGGGGTGAAGCAAGGGAATAGGAGATGAGACTCTGATTAGTTTAATGCACGTTATGCTCAAAACATAACTCATTAAGAGAATAAGCCCAACCCTGTTAGACCATGCACCAGGCCTTAAAATAGCAAGTGTATTCAGTCATGCCCTTAATGCTTAATGCTTTAGACTTTGCACCTAGATTTTAAAAATGTTTATTCTCATGTAAATGAACATTGTTTGAGTTTTTTTTTGTGTGTGTGTGTGTTTGTGTGTGCACATGTATGCATGTGTGTTGGGTTTTAGGGATAGGGTAACGCCATATAATAAGTGCTTTTTACAGTATAAAAAACATTTCACGTATGGAGAGTCCTCATAAACTACATATACATGTGTGTGTGGTATGTGCGTGTGTCTGTGTGCGAAAGCTTATGAGCATCCATGCATATTGCGTATGTGTGTTTGAAGCCATGTCATGAACACTGTCCATGTTGGCATTTGGTTAATTTGGCTCCTACCAAGTGACAGATGAAATTGCTGCAAAATAAAAGTTTGGTTGAGCACATAGACTTTGATAACAACAGAAAAAGATGTTCAACACTGTTAAAAATAAAGGTTATATATCAGCATTTAATGTTTCGATACAGATCATATTTACATTCATGGAAACATTTAATTAGACAAAAGGGTCCTTAATTTAAAAAAAAGTTCAGTACAATACTTTTAACTAGGGATGCACAATATATATTGGTGGCCATATCAATATCGGCCCGATATCAAAATTAGGCCGATATTTTTAAGCTGATAGATTAGGTAATTGTACAGAACGTTACAATTTATTAATTAAATTCCCTATATATAAAATGTTGGTATGTTATTTAGCCTATCATTTTTATGCAACATTCAAGTTGCATGGTAATTTGCTAAGTGAAGAGAAGGAAATAATTTATTTTTGGCAATTATTGAAATTATTGATTTTTTTTTGCTTTGAGTAGGCTATTCTAAGATCAGTTAAAACTTTTTTGAAATTAAAAAAAATAAAATCAGTTGTTCACTGTGTAAAAATATAACATTTTGAGATATTTATATTTATTGGCTAAAATATTGGTTATAGGTAAACCCACACGAAATCTCACACAGATATTTAGCTCATCATTGATTTTGTTTATTTACTTGAGTAAATGAGTTTAATTCTATATTTATTCAGTTTTTTTAATTATTATTGACTAATATGAAAATGTTTATCTGGTTTATGTACAATGCAGTTTTTACTGTAATATTTTCTGTCTTTTAGTAGATATATTATATGAGAGGCTTGCTTTGTTTACCAAATAAGTGAATCTAATTGCATTTGCATTTTAAACATTAAATAAAAGTTTAAAAGGTATTATTTTTTATTTCACATATAAGGTTTTAGTTATTTAAAAACATCCGCAGATTCCATCTTGCTCTGGTTATAGGTCTCCAAATCTAAAAAGTTATTAGTTATTGATATTAGCCCAAAAATCCATATTGGTGCATGCTTACTCTTGATACTAAAAAATGATGGTTCTTTTTAAACCATAATTGTTTTTCTGTTTCTTTTTCTTGAAAAAACTCTTAAGAAACCATTATTTTAAACTGTGTAGAGAAAAGTATTTCCTAAAACAGTTGATAAGCTGTTTATTTTGCAACGCTAACTCTGCTATGCTATTTTATGGTTGGTTGCATTTCATTATTTCTTTTGATATGACTTTTGAATGTAACTGGTTTAAGCCAATCATATACTGTAGATTCCCTTGCTAAAGATGTTCAGCTCTTTCTTAAATGTTTGGAGCCTAGTGATTTCTCAGCGGGACCGCTGTTGTGTGGCTTTTGGCAGATTACGGAACTGTGCTTGTAGTTTAGTACTGTTTAGTTTGCGCTGCTGGTTTTTGGTACATGGCAGAGTTTTTTGAAGATCTAATAGGGCTCCTCATCCACTTGGACCGGACACAGCGAGTGTAATGCCACAGTGTCTAATGAGAGGAAGACGGCAGCTCTTTGAAAAGCAGATTAAAGTGCTGTGAAAGCTCCACTCTGAGCTGCTGGTGCGCAGGGCCAGAGATGAAGTGTCTCTCTCTCTCTCTGTCTCTCTACACATTTGCTGGACTCTCAAAGGTCACCAATTAAAAACCTAATTAATAGGGGGTGAAGCTGGCAACATGAGGTCAATGGCTGTGGGTTTTAAGGGCACCGGGAGGGATGCTACAGTATGTCTCGAGGATGGAAATGTCAACGGCTGAGTTCAGGCTCCGGACAACATTCACACCTGCAAGCAACACATTCGATGCTTAAAGCTACCATTCCAGGTGGAAATCTTAGATTGCTGGTTCTGCGGTTAATTAAATGTCTGCCTGATCTTTGAGTCTCTTTTAAATAGATAAGGACAAAGTGAAAATGTGGCCTCACACACATACTGTACACAACGTTTTCATATCACATATCATCATCTTAGCACTGTAGCTTTCTATACTATTAAATATAGATATAAAACTTATAAATTGAGCAACTTTGTCCAAGATATGACTACAGACTCTCTACAATTAAAACCAGAACACCAGATTGATAAAGAAATGATTATTGTTCACCAGCGCAATTAGCTGCTCCACATTCATATCACCTCTGGGCATCTTCTTCAATGTGTGCTTGCATTGACAGTTTTGCGCTTGAGTGCCT